TGTCTGTCTCCTGTCCTAGATTGCAAACTTTTAAGAAGATCAACCATATAAAACCCATCTTTGAATTCCCAATATCTAGCTTAGTGCCTGTTGGGTGAATGGATGGATGGAAATGTGAATGGATGAGTGAACTAATAAATGACATGTAATTACTCCTTAAGATGGCATACTGCCTGTTACCCTCTAAGGGCTATTTCTTTTCCAATGCTGCATCCAAGACAGGGTGTTGAGATGTTCCTGGCAACATCCTTGCTCTTCATGGCTTCAGATGACTCATTTTCCAATTTCGGCCAAATTTTCTCCTCCTATTACCATACTCTACTCCTCTCATTATGTCATTGATATACTTCCGGTCATTCTTCTCATTTACTGAGAACTTTTATACCAAGACCACAGTCCTTCTCTCCATTCTAGCAGCAGTGACTTCCAGTTCCATGTAGGTCATCTTCTTGAAAATAGGTTCAAAATTTCTTCCTCATCCCTCACAAGTTCTCCATACTTTACCTTGGAAAATCATTACATGGTCATACCCAGACTTCATCATCACAAAAATGTTTCTATATCTAAATGCTCAGGCTTTGTAGTAGGTCAGATACGTGCCCCTCCCCCAAATGTCCACATCCCGATTCCCAGCACCTATGACTTACTACCTTACAAGCAAAACAGACTTTGAAGCTGTGATGAAGTTAAGGGTCTCAAGATGAGAAGTTTACCCTGCATTATCTGGGAAGGCTCAATGTAATCACAGGTCCTTAGAAGAAAGAGGAAGGCACGAGAGTAAAAGGGGGGGAAAAAGAAGCAGACACTGACGCAATGTGGGACCATGAGCTGGACCACGCAGGTAGCTGGAAAGGGCAAAAAAACAGGCTCAGCCTTATAGCCTCCCACCTGTTTTAGACTTCTGACTTCTCGAACTGTGAGAGAATGAATGTGTGTTGCTGCAAGCTGGTGAGTTTGTGGTAATTTGGCTAGAGCAGCAACAGGAAACTAACACAGGTTCCAACAGACCAGTCTGTAAACACAAACTTCCTTCTGGCTCACTCCTTCCCCAGCACACCCAAACCTAGACTCACACTCCCTCTCCTGGCTTCATTTCTTTCCCTGAACACCAAGACATTGTGATTTTAATTTTAACAGTTTTATTCTCAGAATGTCAGTTTCTTAACCACTTATTTTTTCATGTCATCTGCTCTGATAGCTCAAGTGCTGCAAAAGAACAACCCCCTGCTTTCTTCTCTCCTATACTGAAAATACTAAATGTCACAGGAGAAAATAACTCAATACTTTTTGGTGCCACTTCAGTTTCATGACATTTAACCTCAGCTATGTCCTTAGTCACTCTTTATTCTCTTACATGAACTTCATTAGTTCCCTGTTCTAATTCTTTTTTTTACCAGAAAGCTGAATATTTATTTATTTATTTGTTTGTTTATTTATTTACTTATTCATTTGTATTATTGCATTATTGGGGTAACATTGGTTAATAAAATTTATGTATGTTTCAAGTGTACAATGCCATAATAAATCACCTGTATATTGTACTGTGTATTCACCATTCTAAGTCAAGTCTCCTTCCATCACCATGTACCCCCCTTTAGGGTCTTCTACCTCCCACCAACCCCCCTTTTCCTTTTTGTAAGCACCGTGCTGTTGTCTGTGTCTGAGTTCTTGTTTTTGCTGCTTAATCCCTTCACCTTTTTCACCAAGCCCTGCAATGCGCCACCCCTCTGACAGCTGTCAGTCTGCTCTCTGCAACCATGAGTCTGTCTTTATTTTATTTATTAGCTTATTTTGTTCATTAGATTCCAAATATAAGTGAAATCATATGTTGTTTGTGTTTCTCCGACTGGCTTATTTCACTTAACATAATGCTCTTCAGGCCCATCTAGGCAGTCGCAAAGGGTAATATTTTCTTCTTTTTATGGCTGAGTAGTATTCCACCGCATAAATAAGTTATACCTATTTTATCCACTCATCTACTGTTGGACACTTGGGCTGCTTCCAAATTGTTGCTATTATAAATAATGCTTCAATAAACATAAGGGTGCATATATGCTTTTGAATTAGCATTTCAGGTTTCTTCAGATATATTTCTCAACACCAAAAAACCCAAACAATCCCATTTAAAAATGGGTAAAGGACTTAAATAGGTAAAGGACTCTCTGTCCTCTAAAGAGGACACAGAGATAGACAATAAACGTATGAAAAGATGCTCAACATCACTTGTCATCAAAGAAATGCAAGTTAAAACAACAATAAGATATCAACACACCTGTCAAAATGGCTATCATCAATAAATCAACAAATAGCAAGTGCTGGCAATGATGCAGAGAAAAGGGAACCCTAGTGCACTGTTGGTGGGAATGCAGATTGGTGCAGCTCCTGTGGAAAGCAGTGTGGAATTTCCTCAAAAATTTAAAAATGGAATTGCCTTATGACTGAGCAATTCTACTTCTGGGAAAATGACCTCTTCTAATTCTACTAACGGTAATTTCAAATCATCAGTTCTTCTCAAGAACCTGTCCAATCAGTATCCTTGCTTTAGTAAGTTCCCATGAGTTCCATTTTTGAGAGAAAATCGAGGTGTGGCCTGAGTCATCTGCAACATAGTCTCTTGTTGCAGTGCCCCTTGCTCGTGGTCCCTGCTTGTTTTGTCACTGCTGCCTCTAACAAACTACACCTTCCTCTTCACCTTGCTCTACCTCCCCTACATTCATCTAAAAAACTTTCTTTTATCTTTTTCTTTCTATGAAGACTTTACTGGCACCAGCCAATTCCCCACTTGACCATCACTCCTTAGTGTTCCCATTTCTTTGCACATACATTTCTCGCAACTGTCATCCTACATGTGAGAATGTTCGATTGCAGTGATCTAATTTACGTGTCTCTGTCCTTTAACTAGACTGAGAATGCTTGAGACAAACTACAGTGTCTTATTAGTCTTGTTATACCCTGCACTCTAGAACTATGCCTATAATGTTTTGAGAAATAGTAGGAAGGAAAAAAGGAACAACCTCAAGAGATGGTGAGCTCTGTGTCCAAACAGCCAGCCTCTTCCCACCAAACATCAGGCCTGCTTTTCACCTGCTCCCAGTGATTAGTCTGTTTAGAGACTGGGGCTTGCCCCAGCGCCCTAGGCAGAAACTCACACCAGTCCAAATGGCAACTGCACTGGCATGTTCATCTGAGAGCTCTGCTTCTCCATCAAACCCACCTCAGAATCTGGAAGGTACTCTTGGCTACCTTGGTGCTCCAGACCATCTGGTTAGTTGGCACAGCACCCACTTTCAAAGCCAGTTTCTTACAACTCTAAACAGACCAGATTATGCTGTGGAGTAAACTTTCTCTCTGAACTGTCACAGGGAAGTCTTTAGAATCTTTGTCAGTCCCTCCCTTACCCCCTTCTTTATTTCTCAGTTAGGTAGCAGGGGATATTTCTCCAGAACATCAATGTGATCTTCCAACTGCCCCTGAAGACAATAGAATGGTCTGGGAGGACAAACACAGGCAGTCCCCCTTTCCCCTGTTCCTTTGTTGTGGGAAGGAGAGCCGCAATAGAGGGACCAATATTCTGGGATCTCAGGGATGTGCCCAGTCTGCTTTGTGGACACTTTGATCCCAAATCAAAATTTTGCTTTAGAAGTGATAGTCATAAATTATGCCCCACATCTAAATGGTTCTTTCTGCATTCAAAAAAAATCTTTACCCCAAAAGGAGAAATGAAGATGAGAGAAGCAGCCAAAATATGCTTCTTGCTGACACAATTTTGGGTGGGAGTTTACCTGAAGATTCCTCTAAGTATCAAGGAACTCATGTTGTAATAACGAAAGGCTGCTAACAGCACGGAGAATGAGCCATCATAAGCAGCTTTATATAAATCATGTACAACCTGTGCCAAAATAAAAAAATAATAACAACATTGCAGACAGAAATTCTAGGGACCAAGATGGGAAAGGGAGCAAGTCTCACATGAAACTGGCACAAACATTGTTATGCATTGTCAGTGTTACTGTCTTTTTTAATCTTTTTATCGGTAATTTTATCTGCCTAGAAAACTGAAGAAACATTTACTAAACAACAACAATAAAACATAGACCCCATTCCAAAGCAAACATATTAAAAGAATGGTCTGAAAATACATCTTCAACCTCTGCCTTCTTCTCCTATATATTTGGAAAGGAATGGAGAAGAAATGAAAGGGAACGGAAAGAAATTCTCACCTTCGAGGAGTCAGCATAAAAGCTACCTTCTCTTTTAGGCTGCCCTTAACCACTGCCATCTACAGTGATCTATCCCATGAAGACCTGTAAGATTTTGCATTTTACTGTATCCCATACTGACTTGCATTATTAGATATCCACTAATGATCCAAGGACTTGTCTCCCCAGTTAGCTGCAAGCTCCTTGAGGACAAGGACTGCTTATTCCTCCACACTACCTTCCAGAGTGATTGACTATGCACGAGGCTTGAAATATTTGTTTGCTTGGGTAACGCCATCAGCAAATCATTCCAAATCACAAATATGATTTTGCTATACAGTATATGAAATTTAAGAAACATAAGAAACAAAGCTATCTTTGTATCAACGTTTTACGTCTTGTATTCTGCAATTCCTAAGAATAAGTTCAGAGAGCTGCCTATTGGAGGTGACAGGGGTGCATTGGAGGAAATCAGTGAACATTCAAAGGTGTCGGTTCAGTGGGAAATGTGCACGTGGGATTAAAATAAACTGGATTGAGAGTCTTTCCTAAGCAGTAAAAAGTGTTGGCTGACGTCATTTAGTAATCAGAGCTAGGAGTCTGGGTCTTTGAGGGTTCCTTGCCACTTTGGCAATTTGCCTACACTCTTGGCAACTGCATACTCCGCACTATTGCAGGTCGGGAGACCGAATTGCGATAGCGCTGTCGTGCCGACTCCTCAACACAAGGGGGCGCCGAGCAGCGCCGCGTCTGCTGACTCGCGGCCGTTCTCCCAGCATGCCTTGCTCCCGCCGACCGAGACCCGGAAGCTGTCGTTGGCGGCCGCGGGCCGCGGGAAGCCCGGGTGGAATCTGGGCTACGGAGCGCAGTCGCCAGTCCCGGCTGCTCCGTCCCGGTTGCTCCGTGTCAGCGGAGGACCCCTAGCCGGAGAAGACACCATTTTGAGCCCACCACGCGCCCCGGCTCGGTCTGGACGTGCCGCCCTGGCGGTGTGGGACCGGTCCAGTCCGGCCCGGCCCTCGGCGTCAGTAAGTGTTCGGGAAGAGACCTCCTAAGGCCCGCACTGCCTTCCGGAGGCTCTCGACCCCGACACTATGAGAGCCCCGGAGCGCGGGCGGGAAGCAGAACTGCTCCTGTCGCTTTGCGGTGCCTGTAGGACATCGAGGGCCCAGAACCTTGGCCGGGGTCGCGATTAGCACCCCAGATTTCCTAGTATCAGGGACGAAGTTATGCCCCATTCCCCAACACCGAAATAAAATAGAAAGAGGGCAGTCATCTGGGGCAGTCCCGTCATCCTTTCAACCATGCAGGCAGAAACAGTGTCCTCGCTACAAAAGACCTCAGCTGTGTCCAGCTATGGCCTCAGTGACCTGCTCAGTAGCCGGAAGCTGATGGCTGTCGGGGTCGTGCTTGGCTGGCTCTTGGTCATCCACTTTCTGGTCAATGTGTGGCTTCTCTGCCTTCTGTCTGCGTCGTTCATGGTGCTGGGAGGATGGCTGGGCTCCAACGCCATTGTGGGGGCTTCAGGTCGACTGCACCTGGAACGTTTCATCCCAATGGCCATCTGCCCCCCAGACCCCGAGGCAGAGAGACAGCTGGAACAGGAGATCAACCGCACCATCCAGATGATTATTCGGGACTTTGTGTCATCCTGGTATCGCTCGGTGAGCCAGGAGCCAGCCTTTGAGGAAGAAATGGAGGCGGCCATGAGAGGACTGGCCCAGGAGCTGCGGAGAAGGATGGGCATGGTGGACCGTCACGCTCTTACCCAAAGGGTTCTGACTCTCTGCGGTCGTCACCTGCAGAGCTATATTCGGGCAAAGGAGGCTACAGCAGGAAAGCAGAGTGGTACAGTTGAGCATTCCCAACTCTGGGAGGCGTACTGCAGGGCAACTGTTCCACATCCTGCAGTACAAAGCTCCAGTGCTGAGGTTATCTATACACGCGGGATTGTGAATTTGTTGCTTCAAGGTCTAGTGCCAAAGCCCCACTTGGAGACTCGAACAGGACGCCACGTTGTGGTCGAACTCATTACTTGCAATGTGATCTTACCACTGATCAGCAAGCTGTCAGATCCTGACTGGATCCACCTTGTACTCGTGGGCATCTTTTCCAAGAAGAGAAGTGATACAGCAGTGGTTAAACCACTCTGCCCAGCCAGTGCCCCCGGACAGCCCTCAGTGCCCACATCTCTGCCACTGGTCCTTGAGGTACAGAGTCTGCCGGAAGTAAGAGCTCCTTCTCCCGCTGCAGCCCCAGTGCTCCTAAACTGTAATGAGCCAGAGGGACTGTTGCGCTCCTCCCCAGAAGTTGAAGAAGGCCATGAAGTTATAGAGGGAGATTTGGGTGGAGGGCCCGAAGAAAGGAAACTAGGGAACAGCTCCTCTCATTTTCTCCAGCCGGATATCCGAGGCCCTCTGTTCCTGTGTGGAGACGCAGAGCTGGAGTCTCCACTGTCCGAACTGAGCAGAGAAACCATCATGCTCATGACCCCAGGCACCTTCCTGTCAGACAGGATCCAGGACGCCCTGTGTGCCCTAGAGGGCTCCCATTCTCTCGAGTCTAAGGATGGTGAGGGATCTGAAGGGACTGAAGGAGCAGAGGCTGAAGAAGGCCCAGGAACAGACACAGAAACAGGCCTGCTGGTCTCCATGCTGAATTCCTGCCCAGATATCCAGGTTGACACTGCAGACAAGGAGGTAGAGCAAGACGTCACCTCACTTACACCTCTGCTGTCGAGTCCAGAAAGGACCTGCCCGCCACGCCCATCATGCTTAAAAAAAGATCTTACCAATGGCGTGAGTTCCTTAGACCCTAGTCTGCCACAGGTTCTGCTTTCCTCCTCTCCAACTGGTCCTCTCAGCTCAGCCACCTTCAGCTTTGAGCCCCTGAGCAGTCCAGATGGCCCAGTTGTCATCCAGAACCTGCGCATCACTGGCACCATTACTGCCCGAGAGCATAGTGGCACCGGATTCCACCCATACACACTCTACACAGTGAAGGTAACAGGATGAGAACTGGTCAGCCACTCTGGGCTTGGAATGGGTTTGGAAAGCTTTCAGTGAAGCTAGGGTTCTAAGGGAGAGGAGCCACTCTTAGCTGTGAGTCTGAAGTTCATTTGTAGGGCAGAGTAGGCTTCTATCCAGTACCCACACAGTCTAGAATCTCAGGGTTAGGCTACTAGGGAACAGGCTTCTCCTGTGCTGAGTTACTGAGGGTCGTATATGACTGAGGGTCATGTTGTTCAGTAGTTCCCAAAGTCTAAAGCCTTGTCCAGAAATTCTCTTTCCACACCTTTTTCCTGCTAATTTTATTTAGAAATACTGATATCTGTTGTACTTTGTTTTAGAAGGAAGGTTGTTTACCCATACCTACCTTGGAAGACAGTGAGTTCTTCATTCCCAGAGATGTTTAAGCACAGAAGTGGGAACTACTTTGCAGAAATGGTATAAATGGGGTTTATGTGTCAGATATCTGTTTCAGTTAGAGCAGCAGTTCCCCAAACCAGGCTTTAGCATAGGCTGCCTCCAAGTCTCCTGGAAAGTTGTACTTAAAAAAAAACTGAGGGCCCAGTTTAGGAAATTCTCATTCAGAATATGTAAGAGCCTCTCAGAATCTTTATAATGAAAAAGAAGCCCTCTCAGAATCTTTATATTGAAAAAGAAGCCCAAAAGAAAAAAAGATTTGGAGGTACAGTCAGGTTTGGGGATGTATCAGTATTGATGGTCCCTCAAGGAGTAGAATATTCCACAGAAAGCATTATAACTTCAAGGTACTCCAAGTTTAAAAGCTCCACCTGGAATTTTTACCTGTCTCTTACCTAGGCCTTTTACTGGTCTGATGGACTGCTTTGCTCATGTCAGCTCCTAATGAATTATTTTCTTTTTCTCTCTGACTCTAGAAATTTTTAAAACACCAGCCTCAAATCCCACCAACAAGATCATTTCGTCCATTCCTTGCTCACACTATAATACCACAACGAAACAGCAGTAACCTGCTTCTGATGAGAACAAGCACATACATAGTTCTTCCCCAGCATTTCATTATATTTTAACTACTCGGTCAAAAAGTCTTCTCCTGTGCTAAGTTACAGCTTTCATGCTCTTCAGGGTGTTGGCTCAGGGAGAACATACAGTACACCTTCTCTTTTCCCATGTACTACCCCTCCAAGCATATGAAGACAGCCAACTTTAACCCCTTATGACAGATCCAGTCTTCACATGACTTCTCAAAATAGAGATGATATGTACTTAGGAAAAAAAATATTCACTTTAGCTCCAAAAATAATTCATCTGCCCTGAGCAAAACAAAAACATATGTCCCTTAAATGCATTGCAGACAAGTGATTTTTTTCATCAGCTGTTTTGAATTGTTTTCTCCCCAACTAATACACATAGTCACAGGGTGAACATAATGGCAAAATGGTTCCAACACCATAACTCAGGGGTGGAAAAGGTGGTATCATTTTTACCAGTGTTGCATCTTCTCTTTTATGCTGTGTCTTTGGGGTTTGAAGAAGAGTTATGTAGCCTTTTGTGTCAGTGAAAGTGTTTGCAGGAGAGAGCTTTGAGAATGAAGGAGTTGAGAGCAGTAAAACTCATATTTCACTTTCCGGGCCACATTATGTTTGGAAATGTATCTCATTCCTTAAAAATTTAGTCACCCTTGGAATTTGAGTTGTTCATTACAACTTAGAGGAGCAATCATACCTGGTAGGTTTGGGAACAGAATAAGAACAGATCCCTTCCTTTACACTTACTCTCCTCTTAATGTGTTGCTATTGAGCTGATGCAGTGAACAAATTTATTCACTCAACAGTATGAGACAGTCCTTGATGGGGAGAACAGCAGCGGCCTGCAGCAGCTGGCATACCACACTGTAAATCGTCGCTACCGTGAGTTCCTGAATCTACAGACCCGTCTGGAGGAGAAATCAGATCTACGAAAGTTCATCAAAAGTCAGGAGTTTCCCCAGCCCTGGAATACCTTATTGCTTTTCACTTCTAGTCACCTTGATCTGAGAGGCTGGTGGCCTATTGGTTTGTGGGAGGGATGGAGGCAGAGAATGCAGCATCAAGGGTCCTTGCTCACCCCCACCCTCAGTTTGCATTCAGGCGACTTGTGTTTAGTTCTGGACAGCCGTGGGCACACTGTTCCTGAGGTGCTTTTTTGTCACTGAATGCTTTGTTCTGCAGTCCCATTTAGTTTAAGCTGAAGAAAGAAGCTTTTACATTTCCCCTTACATGTGTGACGTAGCTTGAGGAGTTCAGTTACCTTTTCTAGGTTCATAGATTAACAGCCAGGCTTTTTAAAGTATACTGTGAGACATAGGGACAATATGAAAATGTCATGAAATTTAACTCTAAAAGTAAGCTAGTAAGCAGCTACTTTGTTTATTTTAAAAAAGCTAATGATTACCCAAATAAACATTTTAATAAGCTGAGGCATAAACTGTGGATTTCAGTTATGTATTTTTTTTCTTAATAACAATAGCCACTCCTGAGCCAAGCTTGAAAACACAGGCCAGCTTCTCTTCTAGGCACCTCTTGCTCATTGATTCTCATACAGCTTGTGAGATAAATACTATTACTATCTTTGCTTTACAGAAAAGAAACAAAGTCAGAGAAAGAGTAAGCAACTTGCTGAAGGTAGTTATAGGAAGAATTGTATCCTAAATTTAAACTTGGGCAGTTGGATTTCAGAGCCCTCATTCATAACCATTGTACCTTCTCACCTCTTACACATTTATATTAACAATAATGGGAATAGGCTGTATATATTATGTTTCTGGGGTATATTTGGAACTCTTGAAATGAAAAATCCCAGGGAAATATATTCATCAGTTATGATTTTTTACATATATGATGTGTTTTATATGGAGTAGCTCTTAATGAATGTTAAGTGAATGAACTTTTTTTTTAAAGATGTGAAGGGTCCTAAAAAGCTCTTTCCAGATCTTCCATTTGGAAACATGGATAGTGACAGAGTAGAAGCCCGTAAGAGCCTCCTGGAATCATTCCTAAAGGTCAGCATCCTTCCATTTCGGCTCTGCTCTCATTTTACCCACCAGACAGACACCCAAGCCAAGATGGGGAGATCTGGGGAGCTGAAATTTCTCTTTGAAGTGCTTCTTGTGTCTTTTGCAGCAACTCTGTGCCATTCCTGAAATCGCTAATAGTGAGGAGATGCAGGAGTTCCTTGCTCTGAACACAGATGCTCGTATTGCCTTTGTCAAGAAACCATTCATGGTCTCCAGAATAGACAAGGTACCAGCTGGGCCACTGTGCCCAGCCTTAGTTTCTCATCAGAGTGGAGGCAGTGCTTTAAAAATAGGGGTGGAGGGTAGCGAGAGGCAGCACAGAGGAGTAAGTAAAACATGGACTAGAATTTTCAAGACCTGTTCCCAAATCTTCATTGGGTCATCATCTTGCTGAATTACAGTGAGCAACTCTGAATATCTTCAGCACTGTAAGTGTGCACATGTCTCCTGGGGACATAATTCTAGTGGAGGAATATAAGGATATATCTATACCTCCATAGATAGGTGGGGGGCAGGAAGGTCTTTTCTAGAGGCGAAGGTCATTCCCAGGGTTGGTCACGCAGGAAGGAAGCTGCTAAAGCAGGACACTAAGCTGGATTTAGATTGGTGTAGTGATTCTCCGTGGAGAACAGAATGTGGGGAGCCTTGTACCTTCTTCAGGAGGGTATCCCAGGACCTCAGAGATGGTAGGAAGACATTTGTGTCACGCGTTGGGACCTGCAAGCAGTGATCACCAACTGACATTACAGTCTCCAAGGCAGAAATCTGAGGTTTATGTTTATCAAAAGGTGTCGTGTTTCAAAAGGTTAGAAAACACTGACTCGGTAGAAGAGGTTCTTCCCTCTTCTCATCCAGACTTCATTCAGGGGAGAAAAGGATCAGGTGGAATTGCACCTGGTAGGAGCTAGGAGACATTCACTGCAAACTAAAGAGAGTTGCACAAGGTAAAATTTCCAGAGTTCCACACGAACGTGTTCATTCACTGATTCTTTGAACATCTACTTACTGCCTGGCTGCTTAGCTGTGACTGTAGTAATGGTTCATGATATAATAGTGAACCAAATAGACAAGGACTTCACTCAGACCACAATTTTGTGAGCCTAGCGAGCAAGTTGTATTTTCTAAGCCACTTTAAACACATTCTGCATGCTTATACTGCTCCCCTCTGTGTCCTTTCCCTTGTTCACTAGGCCAGAGTCTTGACTGTACTCTCACTGGGCCATTCCAGCCTTGTCCTAGCTCTGCTGGCCGTGCCCTTGCAGAGGGCAGGCACAGGGGCGGGTTCGAGAGCCGCCGTGCCGCTCCGCACCAGCAGGATTCGTTAGTGACAGGCAGCAGGGAAGCCCAGACATCTCCTCAGTGTTACAGGGCTTCATTTGTACAGTTTTTTAAAGCTAATGTTTAAATGTCATTTTCCCATTCTGAGAAATACAGATGATTCTTATTTTTCATTGAGGATAGTTTTGTTATTCTTTCTGTACTTAAAGAAGAAAAATTGTTCGAATTAACTGGAAAAGCCAGCTCTTTCCTCTGTGTGAATTACTCTGAACATATTCTTTTTTTTTTATGTGCCTTTAGACTATATTTCTTATTTTGGTAATCTTCACTCTTTCTGTTCCTCATATATTCCCACCTAATGGTATATAAATTTGTTTATTCACATCTTGGTGAATATATCACTTTGGGATCTAAAAATTACTCTTTTATATACAAAGAAGCTGAAAATGAAAAATATTTCACCAGCCTGCAGAACTCTCAGGTTTTTATTTATCCCATTGTTTCTTTTTATTTCTTTCCCCATGATGTTGTTTGTCTTAATTCTATGAGAGAGATTTTTATGGCCACAGAGAATAGGAAGAATAGTTACCACTTAATTATTAGGTGAGTCTGCCTGGGCTGATGAATAAGGCTCCCCTAGGTAGCCTAGCTATCACCCCATCCTGATTGCACAAGATGCCAGGAGAATATAGTAAAGCTTGTTTGGTGGTTTCTGTCTGACCCTGCACCTCTGACCCCGCACCTCTGACCCCTGCAGATGGTGGTGAATGCTATCGTGGACACCTTGAAGACGGCATTTCCTCGCTCTGAACCCCAGAGTCCTACAGAGGAGCTGAGTGAGGCTGAGACAGAAAGCAAGCCCCAGACAGAATGCAAGAAGGCTAGCAAGTGAGAAGCCCTTCAGTCACCCAGGACCCTTTCCCAATCCTCAGCCCAAGCCCATCCCCAACTCTCAAGCTCCAAAAGAAAGGAGATGAGCTGTATATACTAGTTTTCTGCCCAGCCAGACCTCAGACTCCTCAGGGCTCGACCAGAAGGAACCCACCACCTGAGCTGCCCACTGTGTGTCTGTCCTACCATGGGAACCCAGGGCCCCAGCCGACCCAGGCCTTGTGACTGGAAGGGAAACTCTAGGACAGAGATACTCCCCATTTCCATTTTCCTGGAAGATTGAGGTGTTCTTTCCTATTGAGAGCTAAGGCCCATCCCTGATCTCTGCCTCCCATCACTCCTGGGGCTCTTGGCTCAGAAGCTGCATGTACCAGCCATAAATGGGGGAGGGTGAGGAGGGATACCTGTGGGGCCCGCTTGGTAACTGGGCATCACTGCCATCCCTGTACCAGGTCCCAGATGTCCCCTGGCAGAGCCCCACATGGAAGGGAAGGGCACCACCATGCTTACCCTTACCCTATGTCTGTGTCTGGGCAACTATGGAGAGAAAGAATGTGGGCAGTGGAGAACACTTGTGTGTGTCTGTTTGTCCGGCTGTCTCTTTGTCTTTGTTCAGGCTTCCTGGGCCAGCAACGACACAATTCTTAGCCTTTTTTTACTGGGCCCATACTTTGAAGGGTGACCATAGGCCTGTGCTTATGAGAATTGTAGTCCTAAAAACAGTGAGGTTAGCACTTGAAGTCCCTTCCCTGTTTTTATTTGGAACACAGGGAGAAAGTGGGTATGCAAAAAGGTACTGACGACAGCAAGAAAAACCTGTGCCACTTGTCTAATCTTCAGCAAATATTTAATGAATGTGTGGTATGTGCTAGCCACTCTTCTAGCCTCTGGGAATATAACTGACATTTTTACATTAGCAAAAGCACTTTCCCAGATGCACTGTAGACAAAGCTTAGTGCAAGAGCTACACTATTACTAAAATTTCCAGAATATAGATTGCTTGGGAGACTTGAGGGCCAGGTCCATTCTGGCAACTCTGACCACTGTAAGTGCCCAGAATAAGTATAGGTACATTTGTTTTGAGGTATTAATACTTGTTGGCCCTTTCTATAGGAATCAAGAGCATGAATTACATTCTCTTTGCTCTTTGTTTCTGTACTAGGTCCAGGCTGAGGTTCCCATCCAGTAAAATTGCTCCAGTGCTGAATATGACTGAACCACACGAGAAGATTCTCTACTCTCTCCAGGAGAGCAATGCGGTGAGAAGTTCCTTGAGAACAACTGGAGTTAATAGCTAGAAAGTTGGTCCTGCAGATACAGGCACTTGGGACGTTCTCCAGAGTCCAAAAGGACTTAGATGCCTTTCCAAACAGCTTACCAACACATCTCTAAGTTTTGTTATAAAATCATTTTCTTCAAATGGTTCGGAATCACTACTAGTTCTAGGTTGGTAGTGTGGCTCGCTCCTCAAGGGTCATGGGTGTGGGGTTATATGTGGCAGAATAAGAAAGAAAACCAGTTCCTGGAAGGGAACAGATAGCCCCAAAGGGTCTGCAGCAAGTAAGAATAGACAGGCCTTTGTTTATTTGCAGTCTTGGTAAAAAATAAATGCTTCCCTAAAGTGCTCACAGAGTCCATTGGATTCTGTGTTCCTGATACATTTGCAGGGAAGGAAGGGTCAAGGACAACATAGAGTGCTTTGGTTGCTTCTCTGCTTTCTGCATTCTTTATGGGATATTTCGCTGGCTCTTTCTTCAGGAGTCAGAGACCCTGTCCATTTCTGCGATGGAATCCTTTATTGAAAAACAGACAAAATTACTAGAAATGCAGCCAGGAGAAGCCCCAGAAAAAGATCCTGAACATGTTCCCAAAGGACATGTGGATGATTACTTGTCAGATGCAGCCGTGCCAGCCCAAGACCTCAGCAACGGTGATCCAAGTGAGTGACGAGATCTCCGCTTCCTCCCTGACTGGTGTGACTCAGTGGGTTGTCCTTCCTCCTACAAACCAAAAGGCTACTGTTCGATTTCCTGTCGTAGCATGTGCCTGAGTTGCGGGCCAGGTCCCCAGTTGGGGGTGTCCAAGAGGCAACACATCATTGCTCTTAGCACAGTAGTTTATCTTCAGTTCTGCTAAGCCAGCCACAATTAAATGCCAGAGCCTCAGGTACTGTGCTGAGTGCTGGGGTGCAGAGAAGAATCCAGCTCAGTCCCCGAGCTGAGTTGAGCAGAATAGAGCACAAAGTCAGGGAGTTCCAATCCAACAAAATAAGATCCATGCTTACAATATGGTTACCTCGTTGAAGTGCCCTTTGGCGTGCTTGGCCTGTGTTTGAACTGCTCCCTTCAGCTGTTCCCTTAGGGCACGTGGTACCACTTCCCTGCTTGGTCCCTCGTCAGTCCCTTTTGTTGGCTCCCTTATTAGCCTTCTAGAGCTTTCTTTTTGCCTCTCTGTTATTACTCTGCACACTTCACCTGAGTGCTCTCATTTGTAGTATGGGCTTTAACCCTAACACACATGCTATGATGCCTAATATCAGATGTTGTATTTCCAGTTGCCTAATGGAAATCTGCACTGAAATGTACCATAGGGCAGCCGACATACAGCATGTGCAAAATGGAATTCATCTTGTCCAGTAGATCTGTTCCTTTTGCTTTATTTCCTGCCATGGCAAGTGATACCACCTACTTCCCCAAGGAAGGGCGGGGAGGGAGAGGAGGTGAGGACACTACCCTCTCCTTGGAAGCATTTGAGTAGGGGGGTTTGCTTCCCAGAGGAAGAAAAGGGAAGCATTGGGAGCCCTGGGTATTGGTACGTCTGCTGAACTAGAATTTATAAGAAGAAAAATTTTCATTTCCACCAAGATAAAGGCTCCTGCTAGAAATAGAGATCACATTCAGAAGGAAAATAAAAAGTTTGGTTGCACGAACGGTCACCTGACCTGTGCCCTGTGAACCTCAGCTGAACTGTGTGGAAACGGAGCTACAGCCCCACCTCTTCACACATACCTCACTTGTCACATAAAGGAAGTATTCTGACACCAAATCATCAGAAAACTGCAAGAAATTATAAGTAAGAGGGTCTAGGTAAAACGATCTAGCCCAAATCAAACCTGTAAATTTTGCATATCCTATCTCTAAATGAATAGTTTATGCCTGAGCCCTTCTAGCTCTAAAAGACTCAAAATGCTTGTTGATAGAAAATTTGCCATTTTTTAGTAGAGCACCTGGTGCCTTGTTTGCTTTCTGATTTTTTACTGTTATGAACATTGTTGCCACATGGTGGCACCTCTATGCAAATACTAAACCTGAAAAAATAATAGAATTCAGGAGGGTGACTAAGACTCAGAAGGAGGCTGTGTCCCAAGGAACTCAAATATCACATCTTTGAGCGAATGACTGGAAAGCGAACACGTCAGCTCCCACGCACCCATAAAATACAGTACAGAAGAAAGGAAGTATATATTGGATGGAATTCAGAAGACAGTAGGTTTTATTTCTAGCAGTCCATCCAAGTCTGAAGTCATTTATGTTCCAAAAAGAATCTGTAAGGGAGGAGAACATGGGTGAGAGCAGCTAAGAGAATACCCATTGGTGCTAGACTAACAGAATTATTGTTGATGATTAATTATCAGTGATCTCAGCAGTAACACCAGATAGCTAAGAATCATTCAGGAACATTATGTATCCCTGAGAAAGTCTCCCAGGAACCAAGTCGGTGGTGACAGAGTCCCCTCAACAGGGTTAGAGAACAGATGCTTCCAGCCATAAACATGTCTTTTCAGGAGACTTTGGTTGAGCATGGGTGTGAGCCCATTTGTGGCCAGGCTTTGAAATAGAAATTGTCCTGGCATTTTTCCAAAGTTGTAGTGCTTTTCCTAAAACTACGTATTGTCTCAAAACCAAACTGAAGCTTCCTGGATCCCAGCCCAACAGCTCTGTGTAATGGAGATGCTTTCAAGGCACTTTTTCAACTGGAAAATAAACCCCAATCTTCCGCATACCTGCTGCCCACAATCTCTTTGTGATCTTTGTGGAGGCAAGTGGAATCGAAGTTCAGAAGAGGCCAGGCCTTGTCGGTTCCCTATAGTCACCAGCTGTGAGCACTTACCTGGGGCCAAATATATCCAGCTCTGGGGGACATACAAAGGAACAAGCTAGACAGGCAAAGTAATTGTATACAAAGTCTTTTTTAAAAATAAAAAATTTTTACTAAGTGATTCAGGGTTGTAAAGAAATGCAGAGCCTGCCACTGAACTTTTTAGATACAGAGTGGACATCTCTTGACGTGATTTAAGAAATTCTGGATTATAAAAATACAAGACAACATAAAGGTAGAGAAGACCCAGTGCCTTGAAGTATGTTCCTCAAGTGGGAGTCTCTTCTGATGCCTTTGTGTCCTGCAGGAACGGAGACAGGGTTAGCCGACACAGCCCTGGACCTGCTGCTCTTGCTGCTGACAGAACAGTGGAGGTGGTTGTGTACGGAAAACATGCAGAAAGTTCTTCATCTCACCTTCGGGACCCTAATTCAGAGGTAAGACTGGTGAGTTCTTCACATTCGGGTCTCAAGTTGGACAGGGGTAGGTGTGGTACTGAGTTCTCCGCTGGGAAGGGCAAGGGAAGAGGCCAGGAAACTGGTCATAAAGCAAGACAGTCTCTGTTACAGAGCTGCAGAAATGGAGACCGCCCGCAGAGCCTTCCGTAAGACCCCGGCCCTCACCGCCTGAGTATGGGCCCTGCCTGGGGTTTTTAAATGCTGAACTCTTCCTGCTCTGGGGTCAAGTCCCACCCGGCTCCATCCCCACGCCCTCTACTTCCCACCTCCTTTTGGTGGATGTTTCTCGTAGATGACAATGTATAGTCAGTGACAATAGAAATAAGAAAGATGAGGCGAAAAATGGATCGGTGTTCTCATAGATTATTGTCTCTGAAAGTGATGTAAATACTCACAAGTAAAGAAACACACAGAATAGTTAAACCTTGAATTTTGTAATTCAGGCTTTCTAATCCTGATAGCCCCTGAGTCTCCTGACAGGTTTGCGCACAGGCGGAGTATTTAGCTGCAGACTTCTAACCCCGTAACTGCCGAGCTTTGCTAAACTGAAGAGTGCTGTCTCTGAACCACACACACAGTGCGTGAGTGCATCTGGTTTGGCCACTCTGGTTTGGAGTTCACTCTCATAACACATCCTGGCAAAGGGAGAAGCCAGTCCCGACCACTTTCTGTTAGCACGTGGCTCATGCTGACAGGCACTCCAAAAATAAAAACAACTTTTAATAGAATTCTGTATCTCTTCTACACCGTGTAGAAAGTCCATCACCAACTGTTGACTCTCCCCTCTCACACTCAAAGTTACATAGGATCAGGAAGGTTAGTGAGCTTTAATCATAAAGAGGCTAAGTCAAGGGAGGGTGCACATTTCTGTTTGCTGAGTGCTTCTCATACACCAGCAACCAACTTTTTTTTGCATATATTTTCTCTCAGCAACCAAGTGAGATAAGTAGCCCCATCTTACAAAATCAAGTAAGAAACCAGGGCTTGGCAACGCCAACTGACCTGCCCATAGTTAGTAACCCACCTGGAATTTGAAGCTGGATGCACACATCTTCCACGCCAGTGGGCTCTTTCCTGCCTATTATAGCCTGGTAACTGGCTGTATGGGAAACCCACGTAGAAAATGCAGACCGGTCTCTGTGCCTTAGGCTTCTCCCCGACCCTTCCACACACTCTGCTGTCTCACTGGAGTGCATTTTCTAAAAAGCAAGGGGAACATTGCTCTGCACTAAACGCCCTTCAGTGGCACTCTGTTGCCTCCAGAAGTGATTTTCCAGTGTTCCCTAGAGCTCCAGGATTCCGCAGAGCTGCTTCAGAAGCCACCTGGGAATCCAAGGTGGGAACTAAGTGGACCATGATCCAATTAAATCAGTTCCATTTTTGTTTATCCTCACCTGAGGACATGTTTATTGATTTTAGAGAGATTGAGAGAGAGAAACATGGATTGGGTGCCTCCCATACATGCCCCAACCAGGGACCAAACCCACAACCTAGCTATGTGCCCTGACTGTGAATCGGACCAGCAATCTTTTGGTGCACAAGATGACGCTCCAACCAACTGAGCCACTCGGCCAAAGCCAAAGTACTTCCATTCTGACCAATTTAATAGACTGGGGATCTAGGGAAGGTTTTGTTTGAAAAGGGGCTCCACTGTGTTTAAAACACATGTACATTCATTCATTCATTCCACCTCTTTTCTTGGCACAAACTGGTCCCAGCTGCATTTCCAGTTCTGCCCCATGTAAACCATCCACCGTTGCCTGAGCCTTCCGTGCCGTCTCTTCTTCGAGTCCCTTGCTCCTCTTGTTTCCGCCTGTGCAGTATCTACTCATTCTTCTACCTCCTCCTGTGTCCCATGCTGTCTCTGTTCTTTTCTGCTTGGCCTACTGCTAACTGTTTTGCCAAAATTGAGCATTGTGTCATTTATTCTATGAAACTTTCTATAACATCTTCTCCTGCTTTCTGTCAGCACTCAGGAGTCTTTTCTGTCTGTGCAGTTTTGATGACAATACTTATCACAGTGTATTACAGAAATTATCTGCTTCCCCTTAACTAGTGGTTCTCAGCTGGAGGTTTTCTCCTTGGGGTATTTGGCAGTGTCAGAAGGCGGTTTTGGTTAGCTGTTCCATCTGGTGGGTGCAGTCCAGGCATGCAGCTAAACCTCTGTACTGCACAGGGCAGCACCTTCCCCACCCAAACAACAGTGAGTTATTCTGCACAAAATACACTAGTGCAGAGGCTGAGAAAGCTCCCTGGACTGCGAGGTCTTTAAGAGCCGGAGGTGGCATTATCACATTCCCAGCAACTTACACGGTGCCTGGGCCATAGAAGATGTTCATTACTGGATAAAAAGATAAACATTTCTCTTCTCAATACCTTTCTACTTAAACGTAGAGGTTCCTTATGTTTAATTCTGTCACTTATGAATGTTGCTAATTAGGCCTTCATTTCTCTTCTCCCTCTATTAGGCCTCCCTTTGCCGAGCTTCCTAATGCTTTCAACAAATGGGAAGATTCTAAAACTAGGTAGTATGTGATCATTGATCACTTCTTCCCTTTGAAGTCATTTACATGAGAAATTGGTTTCAGAACACAATAAATTATTTGGAAGGAACAGAAAAATGTAGATGAGTCAGGAGAAATTTTAAAATATTAAGATGCCTATGTAGAAAAGGTAGGAGGAAGTTTACCTGAAGTTTAAGTAACTCAGCATGTTAAAGAGCTTGGGTCAGTACTGAATAAAGTAGAGAGAAATGTGTATTTGGGATTTGCTGTCAGATTGCTGCAGAAAGGGTATTTTGTGCAGCGTGGGTTCACGGGGATCTAAAATGGGAAACTCCTCACACGGTACTTGCAGGCTGTGGGGATCCCGGCCCCAGTGGGCGATGGTTATGAACTGTCTAGAGATGGGGAAGAGACAGCTCCTGCTGTTGTCTGAAGGAGTGAGTGTGTTGGAGGAGGGAGTGTGCTGGGCATGGGCGCTCTAGTTAAGCTGCTTCTTCATCTGTCTCACAGAGCTTTGTTCAGGCTGCTCTGTAGCATTCACCCCACTTTCCCTGACAGTGCTTATAACTCTGTCCAATTGGGGAATTGTTTTGGTCTTATTCCTTATTGATTGAAAGAAACAGTAAGGGCTTGTCAGTAGTGAACAAAACAGACACAGTCCCTACTCTTAACGTAGTTTACAGGTTAGTGGGGCTGAGAACTGAGGGCCTCATGTACGTGCTGTGGAGCCAGAAGTCGAGCCGGGTATTCAAAGCCCGCTTCCTTGTCCACTGTCACTGCTCCGCTATCTGTAATCTCCCTGAAAAACAGGAGTAATGATGGTATCTGTGTCTCCAGGCACATGGAACATGTCCAGTAAATGTTATGTCTTAATATTTGCTCTTCGGAAAAAGCGAAGAAGGTGAAAAAGTATTTTCTGTGTCTCTTTCCTTTAGCCAGTGCCCCCAGATTTGTTCCATTTCTTAATGTCTTCGGGCTACCCCTGTTGTGCCTGTCCTTCTGAGTTCTTCAGAGTATACTTGGCCCTCTTCTCAAATTTCTTGTGCCGTGTTCACAGTGTTCTTGAAGCTTCCTTAAGGTAGGAGTCAACAAGTCATGAGCACCTGGAGGAAGAATCCCAGCTCTAGACCCCGTGTACATGGTGCACACGGAAAAGTTGGGCTTCTTTCAGGGTTCCTGCGTGGACACTGATGATCCCATCAGCTTCAGGATGTTTACCATCCAGCAGGCATTTCTTGAGTTTACTCTGTGCAGACACTGTGCTTAACACTGCAAGCATATTGTGTGATTGAGTCCACTCAGATACCCTGTGAGAGAGATATCAAGATCTCCAATGCAAAGATGAGGAAACCAAGGCTTAGAAAGAATTATGGTGGTTCAGTCAAAATCACAGAGCTCATAAATACACCACGGGCAGAATCCAAACCCAGGCTTGTCTGATTTTCAGCTAGAATAACTTTCTCTCAGGGTCAGACTTTGTCCTGTGATGTAAAGGGATGAAAACCAATTCAAAATCCAGTTTGTAAAATCCAAACTACATTTCCATGTATGCACACTCGCAGCACAAAGGGCACTGGCCTGCTCTAAAGCCAGCCTGTGTTCCTTGTCCCTGACAGCTTGCCTTCTTTTATTTTTAAAAAGAGGTCCGTGCAGTGCTACATTCTTTGGCTTTGCTTTGGCTTGCAAATAAACTGGAATTCGATAGCTCCTCAAAGCCACAGCCCTCCCCCTCCCCAGCCTGCCACCACTACTCCCAGGAGAGGTGGCATGGCCCCAGCTGACTCAGTGTGGCCCTCCCTGAGACTGCCCCCGTGACCACTGCCCAGCAGGCGGCATGTTTCTTCCTTCTGCAGCCACAAGTGTCTGAGCAGAGGACTTGGATTCATTTCTTTGAGCTCTAACTTCAAAGAGAAGGGCGGTTGGTGCTGGGGCCACAGGCAGCTCTGGCCACTTCTCTAGTTGTCTTGATGGACACACTGCGGTTATCAGGGTGGCACAGCCATCTGGACCCAGGTGTGTCTCCTCCTTCCCTCACTCTAGCCTCCAGAATTGTCTCCATCAGGAAGATGAGTTCCTTTTTCCTGCTTCCGTCTTCATTTACTCTCCTGGCTGCCTCGAAAGACCCGTGTGCAGAACTCCCTGGACTCAAGGGACTTCTGTCAGACCTTAAGCCTTCATTCTTGTTCTCTCTCTGTCTCTCTCTGTCTCTCTCCCTCTGCCCCTCCCTCCTGCCCTCCCTCCTTTCCTACCCTGCAAAGAAAAAATAATAAAAAAGAGTAAATTCAACCTCATGACCCCTCCTGAGCCAAGTTGGGAAGAGTCCTGGCTTGAGACAGCCTTCATAAATCTCCCTTGATTGTTGATGGTGTGGGGAAGGTGGGGGAAGGGAGCTGGAGAGAGGGTAGATGCCCAAAAAAGGCATTGTTAAGTCAAAGGGGAGTCTTGCACACATGCGCGCCTGACCTCGAGTGTCAG